AAATTCAGGCTCCAAAATACTGGTTTTGTAATTCTGGGGATGTTAATTAACCTGCCTGAGATTCTCTTAAATAGAAAGTCTACAACTGCCTTTCAAAGTTTGATTTGAAGAATAAAATAACGTATAAAAAGCACCAAACTCCATAGCTCACAAACAGCTCTTAAAAAATAGCTATCACGGGCCGGCCCGGTGGCACACTGCTACAGTGCACCGCTTGGGAGCGCAGTGGCGCTCCCGCCGAGGGTTCGGATCCCACATGCAGACCGGTTCCCGCTCACTGGCTGAGCGAGGTGCGGGTGTGACGCTCCGAGGGTTCGGATCCCACATGCAGACCGGTTCCCGCTCACTGGCTGAGCGAGGTGTGGGTGTGACGCCGAGGGTTGCGGTCCCATTGCCGGTCCCGGTCCAGTGCGGGCGCGACACTGAGGGTTGCGATCCGTTGCCAGACACGAAAAAAGACAAAAAAAAAAAAAAAAATAGCTATCACTTTTTCTTCAATCAATACTGTTGAACTGAACGGACTAACGAATACCATTTTATAAAGATATCTACAGCTTCTGAGAGTGAAAGCCCAGTACAGTTAAGTCGTGGATTTGTGTTCCATCACCAGTTAGTATTGCACACTTCCCAGTCACACTTCCCTGTTCACCTTTGCCAGGTGTTTGGTTTTTTTTTTTTTAAGACCAGTCAAGTGCGGTATCAAGAAGGACAGAAACTGTAGGACAAGCAGTTCGATCTGTGACTGTGAACAATTGAGATAACTTCCTACCTTCGGACCAGCCCTTTGCCAAGTTCTTCTAAATGGTCGGCTGAACACAGGGGAACCTGATCAGCAAGCACAGAGATCAATAAATCCATTCACACTCAATAAACATGTCAATTCATCTCCTTCACTAAGGAGTGTCAGCGGTTTCTTTCATCTTCAGAACTTCAGAAAAGGAAAAGTTAGAGCCACTGTTTTATGGAGGTGAGGGAGTTAATGCCCATGTCAACAAAATTGTATTTTATATTATAAACGTGTACCTCCATCTCAAAAGCCTCTGGCCCTGTGTTTATAAATCCCAATTTCAGTCACTGAATTGAGGGTGAAACGAAACGATGTTGTGATGGACGTGTGTCCCCCCATTAGCACACCAGGCAGATGTCAGTAAAACAAGGATCTTCTGTTTCAGCAAATACAGCACTGTCAGAACTCCCGCCGCAGTCGTCCTCAGCTCCACACCTCCCAGCGGTCTCTCCGAGCAGGCTGAGGAACTCCCCCGTTTCACTCCACTTCTCCTGCCCCTTTGTTTCCCAAAGATCACCTACTTCTTTTTTTTAAATACAGCACTGTCAGAACTCCCGCCGCAGTCGTCCTCAGCTCCACACCTCCCAGCGGTCTTTCCGAGCAGGCTGAGGAACTCCCCCGTTTCACTCCACTTCTCCTGCCCCTTTGTTTCCCAAAGATCACCTACTTCTTTTTTTCCCCCCTTTTTGGCTCTGGCTGTATGGGAATCCGAACCCTTGACCTTGAGGTTCTGACACTGCACTCTAACCACCTGAGCTATCTGGCCAGCAAGACCACCTATCTCTTCACTGACTGCAGGGGGCTTCTTACCTTCCCCCACTTCCTCAGTTTCCCCTTGCCTTTCGACGCACAACTGCGTACTTGATTTCCACTGGCCTCCTAGGCTTCCACTCACATGGCTTCCCCTCATGCTTTTAAATCTTGCCCCATTAGGCCAGGGATCAGTCATCGCCTAGGCTTCCAACCTTGCTTTGACATCTGGCACTCTTTCTCCTCCATGCTTGGGTCCCAGACCCACACCAAGTTCTGAAATGCTCGACAGAGTGCATGCAGAGGCCACCCTGAGCCCAGGCTCTGGCCTGGTCAGCACGTGGGACTCCCTGCAATCCACCGGCCTCTCTCACCCACCCTTCCCTGTTGGCCTCGCAGAATGCCCTGGCTGGCAGGCGGGTCTTGTCTCTGCTGCCTAAACTTGCCTCGCTCAGCTCGCTCTTTTCCCTGGGCCTGTGCTCCTCAAAGAATCAATGCCCTGCCCTCCCCCACCCACTCAAATCCCAGGCTGCCTCCTGGAAGTCTAGCTGAGGTTCTTGCTCCCCAGCGAAGTCCTCCCTAATCAGCAGGCCTCTGAGCACCGTCCACTCCTCTAAGTTCCTGTGAGTATTTCCCTGTCACTGACTTGGTCTGCCACTGCTGTTTACCTTTCAATCTTGTCTTTTCACATGACAGTCATTTCCCTGTGAGCATGAACCATGAAGCACACTTTAAGAAACTATGACAATGCTAGGTGCTAGGCAACACCAAGAAAGTTTTCAGAAACTAAAATCTCCTAACGAGAACAGTTTATTCCATTTTTCATAATTCCTCCCACCTCTCGCCCCTTTCTTTATACAGTTTTACGTAGTAATTAATAATAAAGTAGTAGGTTCAAGCGTAGTTTCACATAGCTTTACATTTTGCTTTTTCCACTAACATAGAAAACAGTCTTCCTTGTTCTTAAGTGATTTTTTTTTTTTTTTTTTAAAGATGACCGGTAAGGGGATCTTAACCCTTGACTTGGTGTTCTCAGCACCACGCTCTCCCAAGTGAGCCACGAGCCGGCCCTAAGTGATTTTGATCGTCATCATTTTTAATGGCTGTGTAATAGTCCCTCTGTTGACATACCAGACCATGATTTACTGGAGCACTGACTCTGTTAGTTAGACATTAGTACATAGTTCTTTGTGTCTTTCACTCCACCCAGTATTATAAAATAAACTCTTGAGAAATATGTGCTGAAATAAATTTATTGTCCATGCTCCCTAACACCTGAAATATTCCATTTCACTATTTCTCTCTAGCTCAATTTCTAGTGTAATTTTCTGGTTCCACCCCTTTAGGCTAAGTATGTAGCAAAGGTTTTTTCTTTTTACATAGATTTATTTACTTTGGTAGTTAATCTTACACATATTTAAAAATGGGAAGTCCCTTCAGGAAAGGCAGTAATATCTCATACTATCTAATATAAGCTAGACACCTGTCAGGTACTCAATAAATGTCCACTCACCTATTAAATATTTTTAAAACCACCTAGAGTTATAAAACATCAAATTCCTGAAACGGAGAGTGTTGCTGATCTAACTAAAACCATCAGTTATGCTTGTAAACCTTTCAGCTCGTTTAGTGGTTAAGTTGGTTAATAGTGTATGAATGGCCCATGGAGGCACATAGGAGTTATCTGCTGACTTGTACAGACAGCATGAAAAGACAAACCACATCTGCAAACAGAACTTCAAGGTCTCGTGACAAAGAAGGTTACCCTTTTCTTTAGCTGTTTAGCTTTGTATTTCAGATGAAGAAAAGCAAAAATAAAAGTTGTAATATTAAAACTGGAAAATGACATGCACGTGAGCACAAACTAGAATGAAAATAAGAAAAGCTCATAGGACGGAAGGATGCAGGAGAATTTTTTTCCTTTTTGTATTTCAGATGAAGAAAAGCAAAAATAAAAGTTGTAATATTAAAACTGGAAAATGACATATGCACGTGAGCACAAACTAGAATGAAAATAAGAAAAGCTCATAGGACGGAAGGATGCAGGAGAATTTTTTTCCTTCCTATTTTTGGTTTGTTAGTATAATGTTAAAATGTATAACTAGAAAAATATTCCTGACAAATGAGTCATTACAACTCTGGCTATGATTAAATGAGGGCCTAATGCTTAACATTCAAATAACTGAGTTTCCCAAACCCACATAAAGTTTAGTAGAAAGGCTAAAAAAGTCTTACTTCCATGATAAATGTTAAATATTAAACCAACCAACCACCTTAAGACTCAAAACATCTAAGCAAAATCAGACACTGAATTACACGAGGAACTTCATGGTACACCAGAGGTTTCTGGAAATTTTCAGATTTTCCTCAAAACATAGCTAATGTGATTCCAGATATCAGAGTCTAAAACTACCTTATCACAGCAACCCACGCTCATGCCTGCCCTCACTTGGGAAAGGTGGTTTCTTTCTTTTCTGCTTCCTGCCCTTCTACACTATGACAGAAACAATCAGGGATAAAGTTTACTACTATTTGTCGTAATTACATACTATTAAATACACAGATTTTCCCAGAAGTAAGAACTGTTCAAAGTGATATGATTCTTTTCAAAATTACTGGATAGGAGTATGATTTTTAGCTTTTTTATACAAACTTGAAAATCTCCGGCTTCAGAACCCCTCTGCATTGTTTTCCATAATAACCTTTAGATTCATGTAAACAACGACTTCATGACAAACTAGAAAAAGGACCAATTTTAATTATCTGCGGTAATCACAAAGAAGTCCTTGTGCATGTCAAGAAATACATGGCTAGGCGAGAGAGGGCACTAAGTGAATGGAGGAGGACGTTTACCACAAATAATGCACTTCTATTTATAGAGTAATGGAATCCACTGTAAACCTTAATTTTAAAGAGAGTTCAACCCAAGGAACAACAGCCACTGCACAGCTAAAACCATGATTCTATGCATCGCTCGAAACTCTGACACTGACAATTATTACAGTCTTATCAATGGCAATTCATAAGTAAAAGGATAGTTACTCCCCTCAAAAAATGAAACTGGTGGGGAAAGGGAGCGGGGAAGAGAGGGAGGGTTCTGAATATCTGAGATGTCTTTCTGTGGCGGCTGGTGAGTTGCTTCTTTTAGCACTGACATTTCCAAGTGTTTTGTGAAGGGAAATTTTAAGAATGTGCTGAAACTATCCTTTCAGAATCAATCCCCAGATAAGCTGTGTTTCATCTGGCCTGTTGTTTTTCAAATGACTGCAACTGGTAATAAAATTGAAGTGAGCTGAAACAAGGATGCCTGACTATTTAAAAACCGAAGCTTCTGAGAACGTTCAGAGTTCCATGTAAGTTATTGCATTTTGTCACAGCATAGAATGCGCGAGGCAAAGACCGAAGACTAGATCTTGCACTAGCTGAGAACTCAAAGTAATTAAGTTTTTTGGGAAAAACTCACCTGACGCCTGAAACAGACCCAGCAGGGTCAAGAGGACAAACCAACTCCAACAGCAGAGATGAGTCCAGGGGAAGAGATAAACCAACTTCCAACGGAAGGACAAACCAGCAAAGCACATGTCAATGGGTTGGTGTGTACATCTCAATATACACAAAAGAGGGCAAAGAAAAGGAAAACAACCCGTCATTTCTACATAGAAGAGAAAGTATGGTTTTTGGACAAAGAAGTTGTAAAATCAGGTTAGAAAGGGAATCCAATAGTTGCAAAGTCATCTCCTGGGACCCCAACAGTGACCTCACTACCATGAGCTTGTATATAAAGTGTTTTCAAATATATTATCTCATTTAAAGTAACTTGCCCAGCCACGCGGCTAGTTAACTATCAAAGCCAAGGCCCGGCCCCTTCTGTCCCGACTTGGGCCCGGGGTCCTCCCCGCCCCCTTTAACTGGCTCAAGACGACTTAAATGCTCCCGGCTTATCTGCTGTCTCCATCCTCCCTGCAGACCTCGGAGAATGTTTGAAAGATACAATTTCACAAGAAACTTGGCACTTCAACTATTTATTGTTGAGAGATGACGAATATGACTTCAAGCAAAAACAAAAATGTCTCAACAGTCCAAAAAAAAAAATAAAAAGCCACCTCTGTCCTCAACCCCGACCCAAGTATGTGCAACTTCACGACCGTCTAGGTTGGAAGAACAGGAAGGGAAGACCCACGGGGAGGGGTTTCTGCGCCCAAGGTTCCCCCCGCCGCGGACGCCCCGGCGCGGGACCAGG